GCAATTGAAAAACAAAAATATAAAAATTTCTATTCAGATTTATTAAATATTCTAACAAGATTTCTTTCCGTGTAGTTGCATTGTATTTTTAGGACATTAAACTATAAGAAACCTTTATAAAAAATCGATTTTTCTGGTCGATAACACCGTTTTCTCAGACCAGGTCACCATATGTACACTCATGGCCAGATATACCTATATACACATTTTTGTCCTTTTCTAACGCACATGTTTTCATGGAAACACGTGTGATATCTTGAATTTTTAATTTCCTTAACTATCCCCTCACAATATGCCAAGAATCTTTAATTTTAATATTTAACAGAAATTCAAATCCAATATTCAGCCAACCTCTGTGACTGACGTTTATTATGGTTCATTCAAGGTTCAGGGAAGTTTCGGTGCTGTCCGGGCAAAGTTGTGGAGAAAGCTTTGTAGTCCTTTCGTTTACAAAAATTTTCAAAATAGTGAAAACAAATTTTTCTCTATATAGAAACATGTTATATGAGATCCTGATCAATTGTCCGGATGTATGTATGGTTATGTGGATCAAAAAATTTTTTTTAACCGAAAAATTTTTAAATAGCAAAATTTAAGGTGATACACGGAGAAAGTTTGTATATCACTTCTTCTTAAACTCACTATGTATTTTTAGTAAATTGACTACTAAAGTGGGGAAAAACTGCAACGATATCAATTTTTCTTAGTCTGACTACTAAAATTTGTCATTGGATCGAAAATTAAATTTCACGAAAAAACATTTCGTCGAATGTCAATGCAAGTGGTCACCCATCCAAGTACTAACCGCGTCCATCGTTGCTTAACTTCCGTGATCTGATGAGAACTTTTTTTTTTTTTTTTATAAATAGACTTTATTAAGAACATATTGTATCGCACCTAACCTCACTTTTACTGACACGAAGTAACACAATTACACTTCAACTTTACAAAAAAAATAATAGTGTTCATTTGAAACTGATTCTCAATAATTAAAAGAATTATAAGCTTGGATATAAGAGATGTACATGACATGATATATTTTTTTGGGGGGGTTTCATAGTCAAGCTCACATGTGCTCAGGAGAGTACTTTATGTTTTAAGCGCCCCTAACTTCATAAAAAAAGTATTTTCGATGTATAATCTAACCGGATTGTGAAATTTTAAACACAGAAAAAGAAAAATAACCTAAAGTAAAGCCTCATTAATATTATTTATGATTCAATTAAAAGTTAATTAATAATTGTTGCGATTAAGTCGGGGCTTCATCTAACTTTTTTTAGTTACGAACACTGTCCACGTCGAATTTTTCTTAACTTGACTACTAAATATTAAAAAAAGAGCCCCAACCAAAAATTTCAGTATTTTACCAGAGTTAACTACCGACGCAGTTCTCGTTCAGTATTAGATGCCAAGGCTGGGCAGTCTGTACTAAATCAGTACTGGTATTTTCATTGTATCAGTACTGGTGAAGTACCACCCTTCCAGTACTGGAAAACCAGTACTGAGCCGATATTGAGCCAGTACTGGCTCAAATAGATTTTCTTTTTAATTAATACTAGTTTACAAAAAGTTCTAGAGTGAACCCGATGAATCTTTTTGTTTAAATATTTTGTTTATAAAAATTTTTTCACTTTGATTTTATTTTTGAAAATTAAAAGGTATTTTATTTTGTTTTTTGTGGGTAAAATTATTTAAACAAAAAGTTTCCTGAGACTAATTCCAAAACATTTTGCAAGTTTTTTTTTATTGTTTTCAGATATGCAATAAACCAAAAAAAAAAATTTAAACGATCAAACTAAAAATAAATATAATTTTTTATAAAAAAAATTAATAATTTTTAAAATAAAAATTTTCAAAAAATTTTCTTGACAACACTTGTTAAAAATTAAAAAACAACTTTTATTTTCTTAAAAAAGTTTTTCAAAAATTTATTTTGATGCAAATAATTAAAGTGAATAATAAAATAATTAAATAGCTAAATGCATAATTATATACATTATAATTATTTTATAAACATTTTTATTTTTACTGAACTGTTTTTATATATTATAAAAACTTTGGTTTTATATTGAATATATTTTTATATTTATTTTTTGATTTATTAAAATAATAATTTGCAATATATTTTATACTTAATAAGAAATAAAAATTCTTGGTGTTTTCGATTTTATATATAATAAAATATTAATTAGTTAGTTGACTAATTTAATTAATATTTAATTTGTGTTGTGTTACTAAAAATTTTACACACTTTTTCCAAAAAAAAAAAAGTATATTGCCTGGTGCTGAGATTTCACTATTGCAGTGAAACTTATCTCTGTTACAGTTAAAGCTTTCTTTTCGTATACAATAAATTACAAAACTACCAGTACTCAGCCAGTACTGAACCAGTAGTGGTTACCAGTACTGGTGCCAACTCTGGCAGCCAATACTGGTCAAATGTTATCATCCCAAAGTTACGCCAACTCTGGTGCCAATACTGGGTGCCAGTACTGCGCCAACAATTGTCAGTACTGCGTCAGTACTGCGCCATTAGTAAATTTTTGATTGGGAGGTCATATATTGTTAAAGAGACTTCTATTAAATAAGAATTTTCGTATTTTTCTCGTTTTTTCCCCACTTTAGTAGCCAATTTACTAAAAATACATATGAGTTTAACAAAAAGTGATACTTTAAGTTTCTCCGTATATATAATAAAATCATATTCGAATCGATTGGTATATATAAAGTATCGATTTGATTTAAATTTGAAGAATTAATGAAAGTTAAAAAATCAAAAATTCACATTTTAGCTAAAAAAATTTATGTTTAATTAAATTCTAGTTTATATATAAAATAATTGTATCCCTTGCATCGAAACGAATTGATTCGATTATGAAGTATAAATTGTATTTATTTTTGTTAATAAATTTTTTACAAATTACAAATAACTGTTAATAATTTTTCTTAAATTGCAATGTTAATGCTTTCTCCACGAGGAAGCAAATTTTTTTTTCTGATCGTAAATAGGAAGCAAAATAATTTAGGAAATTGAAATGAATTCTATGTCAAAGGTCTTATCCAGTTGGATTTAGGTTTATATTATCTTTTGAATTACGATCTTGCAGTCTAGCAGGGTGTCTAACGGTCAGGGAATTTTGTTGGTCAGGGAAATGTCAGGGAAAAGACAGGGAATTTCATAAAATTGCATTTAAAGTCAGGGAAATTTCTGTAAATTTCTACAAAAATTAAAATTTTTTGTGAATTTATAAATTTTTTAATCTAAAAAAACTTGAATGGTTTTTATTACCATTTGTTACTACTATTAGAAATTAATTTATTGTTAAATATGTCAGTAAACATATATTTTTGTCCAAAGAAAGCAGAAATAAAGTTATTAAAAAGTCAGGGAAAAATCAAAAAATGTCAGCGAGGAGTCAGGGAATTTTTTTCTCAATCCTTGTTAGACGCACCTTGTCTAGGTTTTGAAGAAAACTGTCAACGCTATTTTATTTTGGACATCGTTTAAAACAAATTTTACTATAAAAATATATAACTTTTTAATCTTAAACATTGAAGAGCACTAATTAGCGACTAGCGCTATTCGTAATCCCGCTGCTGGAACACATTGGGGATATATTAATTGGCATGGACCATCGGATATCCCTAGGACGTTCGTATAGGATATTCTGAATATCCGGCTTCTGTTAGAATCAAAACATTCAGTTATTAAGGATAACCTGCAGATAACTTAATTACGTCCATCAACTTTTGGAAATTCAGATATCCATGGTTATCCCAAGGGCATCCGAGGAATATTCGCAGGATATCCTAAATATCCAGGTATAATAAAGATTCTAAAATCCTTAATAGATTTTATAATAATCGTCCGACATATTGGATCCGCCATTTTGAATTTTTTAAATCTAACCCTTAACCACATCCGGATATTCAGGATATCCTATGGACGTCCTATGAATATCATTTTGTTCGGGGAAATGAGGATATCCCCGGACATCCCTGAGACATCTTAGGGATATTTTTAATTCCCAGGAGAAAATTATATCCCTACGACGTCTATAGGATATCCTGAAATATCAATTACTGTAACGGAATCTGTTAAAAAAAGAACTTTCAAGTTTCTATTTCAATATAATTGATTTAGAAAAATTGCTCTATAAAAATACATTTTCAGTATTAAACAACTCCAATATTTTATGTAAAATTTTAACTGATTTTTTAAAATGCATGACATCTTTTTAAATTTTTTGATTGTTTTCACTAAACTCCTTAATTTAAATAGATTTTATGAATGTTAAAATAAAATAAAATTTTACTGGTTTCATTCAAATCAAAAGGATCGACAGACGGAATACACGCTAATATTTAGTCTACCAAACACATCCCCGGATAATAAAAAAAAAAATGTTAAAACATTGAAAAATTTATAACATTTTTTAAAGACGAAAATTTAATAATGATAAAATAAATATAGGTTTTTAAAATATGAAATATATTTATGAATTAATACATTTTATAATATAATTAAATTATATAAAATTATTATATAATTATGTAGTTATAACAATAATTAATTATGTATTAAATAAATAATATGTTAATATAATTTAATTTTTAAGTTTTCATTCAATTTTACATATTCGTTTTACTGAAAATAAATAATATTCAAATAAACAATACAAATAATAAAATTAAAGACAAAGAATCGTATCAACTATTTAAAAGAAAAACAAATTTCAAGATTTAAAAAATTAATGTAATAAAAATTAAATTAATATAAAAGATAATAAATAATAATTAATTAATTAAATAAAATAATAACATGCTGAGCATCATTTAGTATTTTATAATATAAATGTTAATTTTATGTGATAAATTTAACATGTAAAAAATTAGATTAATAGAGTTCAAATCATTGTTTATGTTTTAAGTAGAAAAAAAACTAAATTTTAATAGTCTACTATAAACAGACATCAATCTACTAATATTTAAATACTTACGTAAAATAAATGTCCAAATAATAAACAAATAGACGTAGAATGACATGGTTTATATTTTTAAAACATTAATTTTTCCCCCAATTTTATAGATGTTTTTAATTAAACTAAAGAATCATTTTGCATTATAAAATCCTTCATGAGCTACGATAATAACGATCCCTATTCAACGAAGCGACGCGTCTCACTACTAAGATGCATGATGCTAAGCTAAGGGTAAACGTTTTGAAAAGCGACTCCTATGGAATTACAACCGAGCTACTTTCATTTTTTGGCTACCCGTAGAGGTTTTATCTTTATCATCACTGTTGATAATATAGAAATCTTACTTTTATATAATAGAATATAAAACAATATAGGTAATTTAATTATATATTTTTACTTTTTTTACTCCCCAAGTAGCACGATATATCAACCAGATGTCACAGTGATATCACCGGGGAATGTCACCGTGATATCAGGAAAATGTCAAAATGTCCGCCTTACGGTGATATCACCGTGACATCTGGTTGATATCACGATGATATCATGGTGATATTTTACAGGGATTTAAAATTTTTTAAAAATTATTATTTTTTATTATTTTTATTAATTTTTATTTATTATTTTTTTTAATTATTATAAATTTTAAGTCCCTGTAAAATATCAACATGATATCACGGTGATATCAACATGATAACACCATGATATCACCGTGATATGACTGTGATATCACCTCGATGTCACCGTGTGATATCACCGTAAGGCGGACATTTTGACATTTTCCTGATGTCACAGTGACATTCCCCGGTGATATCACCGTGACATCTGGTTGATATATCGTGCTACTTGGGTCTTTAAAGAAAATTTAATGTCTTAAGGATATAATTTTTTTGGGGGAAATTAGGATATTCGTAGGGCGACCACGAACATCCCTGAGTCATAATAGGGATATCCTAATTTCCTTGGACCAAATGATATCTCTAGAACCTCCATAGGATATCCTGGAATGTCCATTGCTATTAGTGCTAGAGATATTCTAATTTTTCCGCGGACCAAATGTTATCCCTATAGGACGTACGTAAAATATCCTGAATATTCAGATTCTGTGATATTTATCATAAAATTATGATGTTAGGAGGGTTGTTACTTTAAAATGTATACCACATATAAAAATAGTCAAATTGTATATTAAATACCCCCTCACAGCACTGGATATTTCAGGATATCCATCGACTTGCAGCGGTTAGAATATCCGTCGAATGTTTCGAAGATATTCGCGGATAGCCTGATGATATTCACACCGCCAAAAGCTTTCGAATGTCCCTAGGACGTCCACGCTATCCTGAAATATCTAATGCTGAATAGCCAACGGACGTTCCAGGGATATTCGGTACCGTGAGATATTCAGGACATTACTTATACATCCTATAGATATCATAATTTTCAATATCCGGATATTTCTATTATGACATCCGTAAGATATCCTGATTATTCGGATTCTGTAATGGTTTAAGCTTCTTCATCCTTCGTTTTTGCAACAATTTCCTTTTTTTCCCTTAATTTCTTTTCTCGTTTTGTGATACTACAGCATTCGGCCATGTTCAGGATGTTCTAGGGATATCAATTAAGTCAGGAGAAATTAAAATAACCCTAGTACTTTCGTAGGACATTCACTGACATGCCTGGGACATTTTATAGGAATATCTTTATTTCTATCTTAATTTTTAAAAAATAATTTTATATTTTCCTCAATATTTTACTTTTAAAAAAACTTAACCTCAAAATTTTTGTTTTATTGATTAGTAATTTTATAAGTATGAAAAAATTGTTGAGTAATTATATTTTAAACGCAAATTTCTTTTACACTAAATCTGGATAATGAAATTTGTGATAAAATTAATAAGTGTAGGTCCTTGTAAGACAGCACCATTTATATCAAAACTGAAATTTCGTAAAATTTTCCACAGTAGGTATTTACTTAAAAACAAGACAATAAAATACTTTTTCCTTTACGATAATTGATTATTATCAAGAAATACACCAGCTAAAACGTTTTTTGAGTTAAAATAATGAAAAAAATTAATGTCGATAATAAATTAAATATGAGCATAATTTTTTTACGAAAAACTGTACGAAACAGAATTTTCTCGGAAATAACAAACAAGAATGCAATTTTCATTTGGAGAATTAATTAACACTAAAAAATATACCAGCTAAGATTCACCTATCACAAAAATAACAACAAAAACTTTTATTTTTAACATAACATATTGACACTATTTTACTAATTTTGACATCCATTTGGCAAGTAATATTTTTTTTTGTTAACAACAGCCCCAATCTCCTCCTGTTGGCAGAATCGCAAAATGTCTTATGACATACATATATTACCTACCAAATGGCTGCGTTAAAATTAGTAAAATAGTGTTTATGTGTTATGTTAAAAAAAAGTTTTTGTTGTTATTTTCGTGATTGGTGAATCTTAGCTGCTGTATTTTTTATTGTTTATTAATTGTCCAAATGAAAGTTGCATTCTTTTTTGTTATTTTCGAGAAAATATTTTAAAAGTTTTCGTAAAAAAATTATGCTCATATTTAATTTATCGTCATTAATTTTTTTTCGCATTTATTTTAACTCAAAAAAAAAGTTTTAACTGGTGTATTTTTGACAATAATCAATTATTCTAAAGGAAAAAGTATTTTATTGTCTTGTTTTCAAGTAAATACTGTGAAAAATTTTACGAAATTTTAGTTTCGATATAGATGGTGCTGTCTTACTGAGATCTACCCTTAAATAGTAGTTTAAATATTGTTCATTTTAGTCGTTTACTGTTTTTATACCATATATTTTAAAATTATTATTATAAACTCAAAGTGTTGTTAATTTAAAACTTATATATCAAAAATTTAAACCCGAATATTTTATTTGAAATTTATTTCATAACGAAATCTTTATTAAATTCCGATAAAATTCCGAACATTAATTTTCAATAATTTAAAAATATTTAAAAAAAATTATATATCGTTGCAATTGAGCTCCCGCCAGCAATAACTCGATCTGCGCTTGAAGAGAGAATTTCAAGCCAGTCAAGCGGTCGAAAAATGAGAAAATATAAAATTCGAAAATTAAAATTTTGAAACTTACTACCATGTAGAGTATAAAAATGCCCAACTTTTTTGTTTTTGAAATTTTTTTGTAGGACTTTTATTTTTAATAATAATGGACAAAAACTAAATTTTTTTCCATTCTCAATTTCATTGAAATTTAAAACTTAAATCGTCCTATCTTGAACAAATCTTCATGAAATCAATTAAAAATTGACATACTTACGTATCAAGGTCTACCAAAGACGATAAAATGGTTAAAACATTTTAAAAAAATTATTGCAAAATTATTTGTTAATGTAAATAGAGACCTGTCAGTAAATACGTTTACTCAACTTTGACGAGAAAAAGTATGCAGGGAACTTTCGAGTTGACAAAACTTCCAGTGAGACATTTGTTTATTAATATGTGAAGAAGTTTTTTGGAAAGTTTTGTTTAAATTGGATTAAAAATAAAAACGTTACATAATGTTTAAGAAAATATGCGCCGCGCGGCGTTTTGACATTTTGATACGCAGTCTTCACGGGGAGGAATCTTTATTGCTATTTTCCGTTGACTTGTTTAAAAGTAAGTAACACTTTTAGTTTCATTTGCTTATAATTTTTTGCAATTTAATGCTTTATTATGGTCTGAAAAAGTATTATTAATCTAAACCAAACAGTATTAATAGATTTTTAATACAAAAAGAATTTAAATTTAGTTGAATATACATACAAGTTTCATAAAAATATATTAGAAATAATTTACAGAAATGTAAAATATTGTTATTTGATTAAATATAATTTAAAAGACTAAATATATTAATCTAATCTTACCTTTAAACAAGTAAACGGAAAATAGCAATAAAGTTTCTTCCCCGTGAAGACTGCGTATCAAAATGTCAAAACGCCGCGCGGCGCATATTTTCTTAAACATTATGTAACGTTTTTATTTTTAATCCAATTTAAACAAAACTTTCCAAAAAACTTCTTCACATATTAATAAACAAATGTCTCACTGGAAGTTTTGTCAACTCGAAAGTTCCCTGCATACTTTTTCTCGTCAAAGTTGAGTAAACGTATTTACTGACAGGTCTCTATTTACATTAACAAATAATTTTGCAATAATTTTTTTAAAATGTTTTAACCATTTTATCGTCTTTGGTAGACCTTGATACGTAAGTATGTCAATTTTTAATTGATTTCATGAAGATTTGTTCAAGATAGGACGATTTAAGTTTTAAATTTCAATGAAATTGAGAATGGAAAAAAATTTAGTTTTTGTCCATTATTATTAAAAATAAAAGTCCTACAAAAAAATTTCAATGACAAAAAAGTTGGGCATTTTTATACTCTACATGGTAGTAAGTTTCAAAATTTTAATTTTCGAATTTTATATTTTCTCATTTTTCGACCGCTTGACTGGCTTGAAATTCTCTCTTCAAGCGCAGATCGAGTTATTGCCGGCGAGAGCTCAATTGTATTAACCTGTACATTACAAATATAACATTTAAATAATTATTTTTTTGAAATACAACAATTTTTAATTTTGCAATGAAAAGCACTAAAACTATAAAATATACATTTGGACATAATTTTCTTTCTGTCCTTTTCTAACGTACGTATTATATATGAAAAAAGACAAGGACAGAAAAGGGAAGGCGTCAATTACTACGACTATACGATTAAAGTACTTCAAATTTTAAATTTGCCTAATAGTTTCCTTACATTTAGTTAAATATAAAAAAGCAACATACATACCCGTGTAGAAATTTTGCCATGGCTCGGATCGGGTCCTGATCGGATTTTAATGCAACGCTAGGCCTGATGTGACCCTGATTAGGAAATCCACATTTTCTCGTGGCCCTGATCTGTCCCTGATCGGGGCCAGATTATGATTCCATACCAGGGAAATCATATGAGAAAGTTATTTATCAAGACAATATAGCGAAAAGACCAAAGCGAACGAACAAGTTGTCAACTTCTTGGCTTTCACAATCTGCCAGTGAGCATTATTTGAGCACCTGGATATAATAACTCGCGCTACGCTCGACTGTAAGCTCTCAAGCCAGTCAAACCTAAAAAAAGGGTAAGAAAATTCAAATTCAAAATTTTGATTTTTGAAAGCGGAAATAAATAGGCGCATATTTTTTTCCTTTAACATTTTTTAGAAAAACGAATATTTTAAATAATAAATCCAAAAAACTAAGAAATCTTGATTCACAAATTTCATTAAGTTTTAAAACATAAATCATCGTATCTTTTACAATTATTAACGGATTTGATTAAAATTATTATACACACGCTCTTGGGTCTACTGAAGACGACAATATAATGAAAAATCACTAATTGTTTATTAATTTTTTAATATAAATAGAGACCTGTCGGAAATGATGTTTTCTTACATTCGGCGACAAAAAGTCTGCAGGGAAGTTTACAGTTAAGTTAACTTCCAGTGAGACATTTGTTTATTACTATATAAGGAAGTTTTTTGGAAAATTTTAAGCCGATTCATTGAAAACTTTGGAAAATATTGAAGTTTTAAGAAAGCGCGTGCGGCACGCTAGCGCGTCACCCGGCTTTGTGCATTAAATATGACCAGCTTTCCACAAGCTTAATATTAATTTAATTAAATTAATAATTAATTTTACTTGCTTATTAATTTATTATTATTAAATATTAACCTAATAAAGTTATATTACATAAAATATTTTATACACAAAATTACCAAGTAAACAATTTTTATATACATATTTAATACTTTTAAATAGATTTTTAAAAATTCATACTTCTATTTTAAGGATGTAGGTAATTAATAATAAACATAAAGTTATAATTGATTTCAAAATTGCACATTACGCATAAATTTAATATATATATATATATATATATACTAGGGGGCTATGCCCCCTGCGCGCTTCGCGCGCCAACCCCCATCCCCCTCCTCTCTTCCCCTCCTTTTCCCCACCCCCACCCTAAATTTAAAGGTAAAGATCGTTTCAAGACTCTGAATATAGCCGCAAGTCCCCCCCTCTCCCTTCTCTTCTACCCTCCCCTTCTCTTGACTTGCGGCTATATTCAGAGTCTTGGAACAGCGGCTTCACGCGCCAACCCCCCTCCCCCTCCTCTCTTCCCCTCCTTTTCCCCTCCTTTTCCCCTCCCCCACCCTAAATTTAACGGTTAAGATCGTTTCAAGACTCTGAATATAGCCGCAAGTCCCCCCCTCTCCCTTCTCTTCTCCCCCCCTTCTCTTGACTTGCGGCTATATTCAGAGTCTTGGAACAGCGGCGGCGGCGGCGTTGGCGGCGATATCTTTTTGTAATATAGGTAGATATATATATACTAAATCTAAGCATTTGTGGTCTAAGTAAATAATATTAATAAAAAATGGAATACTTTAAAACCAAATACAGTTACAGTGATTCTAAACTTTCAGATTGAAAATTAACGTAATTCCACATTTAACAAGCCCATTGATTTTTCATAATTTATCGTTGTGAATTCAAAAGATTCAAATAAGAAAATATTGTTTTCATAATCTGAAATAAAAAAAACAAAAAATGAAAAACAGTAAGGTTACAAGTAAAGGTTGTAGTAAGCTTACGCAGTAAGGTTGTGGTAAGTTAAAATTGTAAGTTTACATTAAGGTTATTCTAAGCTTGGTGTAAGGTTACGATAAGGATGCTATCTAGGCATAAATATAATTAATATAAATTAACTAATAAATTATTCGTGCGCAGTAGTTTTCTATGACACCTACGAATACGCAGTAAATTTTTTTTCAAAAACCCTAACAACCCTAAGCTTACTACAACCTTTGCATGTAACCATAGAGCAATATGATATAGGGAAGGTGGGGGAATTGGAGCCTCTTAAGAAAAATTACTTCTAAAAAAACCGACTTATTCTTATAATAAAATATTGTTTCGGTCATATTTTACTACTTTTGTTATTTATTTTTAATTATAATTAATTAGAAATTAAGAGAAAGAAAGGAAATTTGCAAAAAAAAATTTTTTCTAAAAAAATGCATTTTCTCCCATTATCCCACCTGTGGGGTATTGGGAGCTCTTACTTGAAATTCCAATAAAATGATAAAATTTCTATTTTTTTTAATACTTTTTTTATTTTGTCAATAATTCTCGACAGATGAATATTTTACAAAATATTTAAGACATAAAAAAGACCTACAGCTTCTTTAGTATTAAAATATTCAATAATAACACATTTTAGACAATAAAACACAAAAATATGGATTCTCAGTAATTAACCTTTAAACTGATACGTGCCGAAAAATCACACTAACTGATTTCACCGGTCTGTCAGACCGCTATTCATTTTTTATGTTATTTTATTGATTTTAAATTTTGTAAAGTCAATTGTTGTATATATTTTTTATTTTTTATGATTAAAAAGTCAATTTCTATATTGTTTCGTTTTAATTTTTTTATTTTTACATAATTTAGAACGCTTTAAAAAAACGCTTTAAAAAAAAGTTATAAGCGATGAAAGTTTTAATAGCGGTCTGTCAGACCGCTAAATCAGTTTAAAGGTTAAATATGCAAGAATATCAAATTTTATAAATGAATCTTCACCGAAAAAAAAATCCTTTTGTTTCAAGAGGATTCCTCTTATTTCAATGCATATTTTCCTCTAGTATATGCTGCAAAAGGATGTCCTCTAGGTTTAAGAGGATTGTCCTCTATGTAAAATTATTCCTCTTAATTTAAGAGGATACTCTTATTTTAAGAGGAAAATATTATCTTAAAAAGAACTATGAACTTGAATTTTATTCTTAAAACAAGAGTATTATTCTTTAAATGAGACTATTTTCCTCTAATTTCAAGAGGATCGAAACAAAGGGACTATTCTAGAGCATTCTTCTTATATTCAGAATAATCTTTTTAGAATAACAATAATACTCTTAGAATTTAGAATAATCTTCTATGTTTAAGAATATTCCTCTAAATTCTAAGAGGATTTCCCATTGAATGTCGCTCATGCGCAAAGATGATTGCGTCATATCATTTACGTCGCGTCATAAATCGCATATTATGCCTGAAAAAGTTTTAGTTTCTGTGTGAAAAAAAGGAGAATAAACCAAAATGGATAATAATCTTTTATAAATATCTTGATAGAGTTGCAACTTACACAATACGTGCCTATTTTTGAAGGTAAAAGAAATTTTTAAGAAAATTTAAATAATTTTGAGGTTATGCTATTTAAAATTTTATTTTATTATGTACGATTTTTATTTATTTTAATTTTATTTAAAATTTATATAAAATAAATTTTCAAATTTAATGAATATTATATGTTTTGCGCATAAAAATATTATTAAAAATAGATTTAGTTGATTTTATTCAAAAAAAAATTTAAATCAATTTCAATTTATTTATACTCAAACAGATGTAAATCATGGAATATCAAATTTTATTCCTTTTAATTTTATAAATTATATCTATGACATACTCTTAAATTAAGAGGAATAATTTTACATAGAGGACAATCCTCTTAAACCTAGAGGACATCCTTTTGCAGCATATACTAGAGGAAAATATGCATTGAAATAAGAGGAATCCTCTTGAAACAAGAGGATTTTTTTTCGGTGTATATTTATCTCTAATAAAATCACAAAACATAATTAAATAATAAATTTTTAACTATTTAATTTGATCTCCAGAAATATTTTCCATTTCAAAAAAAAAACTCGAAAACTTGAATTTAATTTACTTGTAGTTTCTACAAATCTTTCAGAAATGTGACCATTTGTCTTGGTATGACATACAGGAAAACTGTCCAAGTTTTCCAAGTTATTTCCGCGGAATTCAAACTCTTTATGTATTTGAAATTAAAAAGCTCCCATTACCCCACCTTCCCCTATGGGTAAATTTTTGAAAATATACAAATTAAAAAATGCATACCGAAGTTGCACTTTTGTAGATATGTACATTTTAAACTTTGTTAGATTGTAAAATAAGGTACTGGCCATGAAATGGTTTACAAAATACATTAAACGGATAAGAAAACAAAAAGGGTATAGCCGGATAAGTATGAAAAAATTGCCCCCGCTCGTATTTTATTCATATTATTGCTATATGTTCCCACCCACATGAATATAACTTTCTGAAACTTTCAACTCAAAATTTTGCGTTTTTTGGGAGTTATGGAGGAGGAAAGAAAAATAAAAAAAGGCATTTTTCTCAAAAACTACTAGATGGATTTTAATGAGCTTTGGATATGTTACAGTGACAAGTAAAACGATTATAAAAAAAATTGTCAACATTTTTTTTCAAAAAACTAAAACATTTTGGATTTTTAAATTTTCAAAAAATTTTTGGGGTTCTATTTAACTGGTACACTAAATATTTTTTACCATTTTACTCTTCAAAGTGTCCCACTTAATAAAAAAAAATGTTGCCTGACATGATTTGAAGGTGCGTCACAGTGGAAAACTCGAAAAACCCTTCTTGGTATATGTTTATGTAGTATAGGACTGTCAAACTTTTAGACATTGATCTATTTTCAAAAATTTATTATGTAGAGAGACAAAATAATTTTTTATAACCCATTTTTACAATCGTGGGTAGGTCCTAGTAAGGTAGCACTATCTATATCGAAATTAAAATTTCGTAAAATTTTTTACAATGTAAAAAATAGACGTTGAATTTCAACTCCCTAGGTGATGATATAAAAGTCCCACCCTTTTAGTGTTAAAGCGAAGGGAGTTAATGCTTTACGAGTTAATTTTATCCCTATTGAAAAATTCCTGTGAAGGAACACACATACACTGAAAAAAAAAATTTATTTGGATAAATAATAATATATAATATATAATATAATAATCTTGGTATTCATTCATTCCGTCCGGACCCCTGCTGGGTTTTCGGTGACAGAGAAAAGAACAAGTTATGGAGAGAGAAAGATATATCTTTAATTTGCAAATGAGGGTTCGCTTGACCTGCAATCTGTTAAAGAGGATTAATTAATAAAACTGAATAGGTAACGCATACCTTTCTTTCTTACACCAAGGAATATAACATAAGTACTTCTTTGTTTAACATTGCGTTTCTTTATCTAGACAATTCAAAATGGCATAAGAACACTTTTTTTCAATTTTATATATTTTTGGACACTTTTTGGTATTACCATAAAGTTTGAACTCTTTTCTACATAATGCATATATTCTATTTAAATTATATTGTGATTAAATAGAAAAATTTCAAGTTTTTGGAACTTGATACATTTTTCTTGTTTTCAAAGTTTGTGTTAAACAGTGGGACCTTCATACTTTATAAATATATATGTTTTGCATTAAATAACGTTAACAAATGTTGCAAAACACTCATAATTTAATAATATTTTACATTTTTATAATACGATGTCAAGTTTCATATGAAAAATTGCTATTATTTTTTTTTACGTTTACAGTACTGCTGATCATACGTCATAATTTGGTCATAACCTAAAAACAATTTGGAGGAAAATTTGAATAGTCGTTCTCTTATCAAGTGTTATTTTTCAAATGTTGCCGTACAATAATTGTAATAATTATAAATTTTGAATTTTTTAATGTTTTTTAGCATAAAAAAATCACATTTTTAGTCGCTATGTAAGTATAAATGCGCATGCGTATAGCTGACACAACTTATAATTAGTGTTGCCAAAATCCACGTTTCATAAATTTAAATTTTTGCCTGTCCCAGTGTTTAATGTCCCACTGTTTAAATTGAGCAATCGCAAGAAATTGTTAAAATAAAAATTGTTTGTAAAATTTTAAAATATTTTAAATTATTGGATATTATACTTAAAAACATGTGTAAACGAAGTAACAATTACACTTTTTTTTAAAACTGTCCTATCTTATGTTATTTTGAATCCTCTAGATAGAGAAATGCAATATTAAATGAAAATTATATGTTATATTCCTTGATGTGAGAAAGAAAGATATACATTACCTCTTCAGTTTTTGACTTTTATCTTTATATTTCCATGTGATAATACACGGAAAAAATTTCGAGCCGTCAGACGTGCCGATGTCAATGTAAACCTACAGTACATTTCACTATGTACTCAGAGTTAATCTTCATTAACAAAGGTTCTATTGGCCAAGGGTTGGTACATCGTTATTTTTCTATATAATAAATGTGAAAAAAGAAATTATTACCTGGGTCCTCAGAGTTAATCCCCATTAACAAAGGTTCTATTGTCCAATGGTTGGTTTTTTTGTGGTATTTGTTCCGGGGTTTTAATACAGGTATAAATACGTATATATGTTATTTTTAATGAACTACTGATTACTCATATAAGAGTGTACTTTTTGCACTTATTGGCTGATCAGTAGTTACTGATTCATAGTTACTCATAGTTCTCTCATTCTTTTGGATATTTGGTAGTTTTATTGGATAAAAGGCAAAATTGGTTATATTGCATTAAAGTAAAAATTGGTTATATTCAATTAAAGGAAAAATTGGTTATATTTAGTAAAAGGTAAAATTGGTTATATTTAATAAAAGGTAAAATTGGTTGTATTGAATTAAAGACAAAATTGGTTATATTTAATAAAAGGCAAAATATTTAGATTTTCATGAATCAAAAATAAGAAAATCTGAAAGCACTGAGTATTTTTTCTCATATCACTGGCTACTGTGGAAACCAAAAAGTTAAATTCCAAAACTCTGAATGTTTTTCGCACAGCACTCAATGCTCTGCAGAAAATAATCACTATTTTTTTGACAGTTATTAGAATTTCGGTTTATATTAATGGACAACAGAGTTTTCAAAGCTAGAAATATAGCAATAAATTCTTCGCTCGAAGTCGTGACTGCTTTCCTCACAGCTCTGAGTACTGTGTAGAATTATTTTTTAGAATTAAAAAAAAAAAGAACATTTAACTTACCTGAAAATATCCTCTTGCTGTCGGTATAGTAGAGTTCTTATAACTTTTAAGAAAACTTTTTTTAAAAATTAAATTGCAATTATTTTAAACTGTGCTCGATAAATAATAAAATAATTAATAAAATTTGCAATTTCTATTAAATATAAATTATTTTTTCACACATTTTACACTAATTTCTGAATAGTGTTGCCGCAAGACTCAAGACTTTTCGAGACAAGACGAGACTAAAGGTGACAAGACCAAGACAAGACGGACCATTTATCTTGTCTCGATTATTCAAGACGAGACGAGATCAACTGTGTCAAGATCAAGACAAGACCAAGAGTCTCGAGTATAAACTGATTACTAGAAAAATAAGTATTACGCATAACTTTGTTAAGTGTAAATGAATACTTTCATTCTCATAAATTTTAATTTATCCACAAATAAATAATTATTAATATAGAGAACACGTAATAAAATTTTTTAATTATTAAAAAACACGAACATTTAAAATAATAGAAATCTATTTGTTATAAAAATTTTAGATTTCTTTACTTTTCTTTAAATTCATTTTTGATTTTAGTAGAGACAGAAGAAGAAAACCAGGAGTTCAAACATAAAAGATATTCTATGTTGTTGTTACTTAGCCTGTTTCGGTTGTAATATTCATTATTATTAGAGGTGTGCAATAACTCGAATTTTACATGGACTCGAAATTCGAACCGAACCGAGTCCATGTTAATTCTTATGGAGAGAATCGAATTTTTGACATTTGCACAACTCTAATTATTATATTATTCGTATAGCAATATATAGTAGCATAATCGATTTTTTATTTGTAATTGAAATTTTTCTGCTATATAACATATCAAAATTTATGGAACATATGAATAAGTGTTTTTATTTACAATATACAGACAAAATATTAAGTCAGTTATCTGAGGTTTAATACATCATATCACGAGTCTTTTGAACTATGTTTAACCTAAAAGTTCTGCTACTTCTGGTTTTCTTACTGAAAATTATTCTCTAAGGTTTAAATAATAAGAAAAAAGTTTTTAAAAAAATATTTTTTTAAAAAAAGTTTCCAAACTTGTTCTAAGGTTTAAATAAGAAAAAAGTTAAAAAAAATTTTTTTTAAAAAAACTTTTTTTATTATTTAAGCCTTAGAGAATACCTTTCAACAAGAAAACCAGAAGTAACAAAATCTTTGAGTTGAACATAGTTCAAACGACCCGTGATATAAAAACAAATCAATAATTTTTATTTTTTGAAAAATATCGAGACCATTCAAGACGAGACGAGACTCTATGTATCAAGACGAGACTTTTTCGAGACAAGACTCATTGTTCGTCTCGACTTTACAAGACGAGACGAGATTGATCAGAATCTCGTCTTGTCTCGTCTTGCGGCAACACTATTTCTGAAAATATTATGAAAACTGACAACGAGTTAAAATCTACAGTTACCACTTGCACATATCAAGTAATTATTTATTATTTATCACGTTAATAATTAAAATTCTTACAAAAATTAACTCTATGAATGTTCATTTATCCTCACAATACTAATTTTTATAAATTTTCATCAATTTAAAGCTTTTTTTTGATAATTACCTAAATTCGACTTAGATTCGACTTAGATTCGACCCAGCTGGGTCGATTTTAGGTAAATCGAATCCGCCAGGGAATTTTCTTATATTTTTATGAAAAACAGATTATTTGACTAAAATTATTTATATTTCATTAAATAAGAAGTAATAAACTTTAATAATATGAAACAAATTACTTTTTATTAATAAACGTAAGAAATAATAATTTTTATTACTTCGCGAGATAAATATTTAAATTAATAATGTTGAAACTTAATATTTTTTAATCATAATTATCTATAAATTTAGATTAGGTTGTAATTTGATATTAGATAAGAAATCTTAAAATCTTTAAACTTGTGAAATACAAATAAATATTTAAAATTTACCTATAATAATTCATTTTAAAAATAATTATTTATTATTTCATTATTGTATAATAACTTTATTTGCTACATAACTGAAAAATTAAAAAAAGCGATAGTTTTCAGAAAGACTTTTTGAAGTCTTCATTTCTTTATATCTATTATTCATTAACTGTTTATAAACATGTCAATTAAAATCATAATTTGAAAAGAAAAAATAACCATGGCTATCTTCTTTTAAATTGATGTTAAACGTTCCTTTGTTTTCTAAATTCTAAAAAATAATTATGCACAGTACTCAGAGCTGTGAGAACAGCAGTCACGACTTCGAGCAAAGAATTTATTGCTACATTTGTAGTTCTGAATAATCTGTTGTCAACTAATATGAAACGAAACTCTGTTTACTGTCAAAAAAAGTTGTAATTATTTTCTGCAGAGCATTCAGTGCTGTGTGGAGAACATTCAGAGTTTTGAAATTTAATTTTTTGGTTTACACAGTAGCCAGTGCTATGAGAAAAAATACTCATTGCTTTCAGATTTTCTCCGTGATTACCACCCATGGGTGGTAACATATAGTAATAATATGAATAAAATACGAGCGGAGCAATTTTTCCATACTTATCCGACTATACCCTTTGAATCAATTTTGACTAAATTCTTGTTTTAAAAGTGCAGCTTAGGTTCAGAAGTTATAACATATAGCTTACCGTGGCAAAAAATTCGAAGGATAAAATAAATGTTTTACCTACATTTATATTAACGTTTTGATCACTTTTATTTAACATTATGCATAATAATTGTTTTATTTCAGGCGTCGCGTTAGTCCATTCAAAATCATATCTTTAATAATACCAATAAAATATTTGTAATAGAATTTTGAGTCTATGTCAAGATGCCAGAGACAGGAGGTTCAACTACAAACGCATGTAAAAAATCATACACGAATGCAATGAAAATAAATATAAGCGTTTATATTAAAAATAATTTTATTATTAAATAAGTGTTTCAAAGACAAAAAAAATGTGTTAAATCAGTTAGGACGCTATAGGAAATTTTTTATTACTTGACGGCGACGTGACAAACACGATACGCCTGCTATGGGGCAGTCCTGTGACTTATCCCCACTACCGTAGTTGGACCTCGTTTCTCTATAGCCTTTTTGCTCTATGTCCATAGAAATAATTTATTGGGGATTCCCTTCTTAAATTAATTCCCAAATAGCACAATTATTTCTTTACACGGTGTTACATGGTAAATTTGGCAATATTACATTGCAACATTCAGGCAAGGTTCGAGCAAGATTGAATAATTCCGCCTAACAACAACCTTGCATGGTCTAAGGCAATGTTGCGCTGCAATATTGAGAAATTATTACACGGCAAGTCTGAGGCAATATTACAACGACTTTTTGTTTTAAGAAGAAAAGAACTCTAGTATGTTTTTAAAATAATCTAAATATACTATTGGGATCTGAAATCATAGGGAATCATGGGAAAAATAACCCACTTGTGGTAGCCATCTTGGTTTTTATCTTTTTCTTTAGCATATATTAGAGAAAGACGGAATGAAAACATGGCCATCACAACAAGGCTCTCACCAGATGGCGTATCACAGTGAGTGACTATACACCGCAGTGAAAAGAGAAACATTCTCATGCGAAAGTGAGAAACTTTTCTCCTCTATGAGTGAGGAAAATCAAGGTTGCCAACCTAGAAGACGTGTTGGTAAGGTAGGTATTGAATAGTTTCTCAAGAAAAAGTTAAATACCTACCTTACCAACACGTCTTCTAGGTTGGCAACCTTGATTTTACTCACTCATAGAGGAGAAAAGTTTCTGACTTTCGCATGAGAATTTTTCTCTTCTTACTGCGGTGTATAGTCACTCAGTATTTCAGATCGCAATAAAGGCACTTATATACCTCACCGATCCCGAGTATACTTCTGTCGTGTACCATTGGAGTGAAAGAAACATAAGATATTTGTCTGTTTTACTCCAATGGTACACAACGCAAGTATACTCGGGATCGGTAATGTATACAAACGCCTTAAGTAATAAGTTTGGCTCGTTAGTGAAAGTCAGAACTCACGCGCATTACCTCAATATAATTTTAATGTTACATACAATACCGTATTAAGTAAAATGTAAGAAATTGTGCCATCTGGGTTTTAATTAGGAACATGGCATTGAAGCTCAGAGTTGTGCCGATCAGTTACGCAAACACTACTTGTAATAATGATTTAATCTGATCAAATATATATGTCCTTTCTTTTATTAATTTATTTCCTTTTCATTTTAACGCCCTACAACCATCCATATTCTTCTTTAAATATTATTAGTAAACTACCCTATTGAAAAAAACACGTATAATTATACGTATAATAATACGTATTATTATACGTATATTTATACGTGTTTTTTTTCAATACGGGAAAGTAACATATATATTTCTCTTCTAAAAATTATTTTTAACTTACATATAATTCCTTAGATTATTACTTTGAGTGTATACCAATTGTCCAGTTAAACATAAATAAAATAAGTGAAAAACTTGAGCCACCGCAATAAAACATTCTTTTAAAACAAAACGAATATCATCCACTTTGAATAGAACCTACAAAATACATTTAAAATTTCAATTTTGCCAAAAAAAGATAATAATAATTTCAAAAATGCTTGCCACACTCCCATGAATAGCCACTAATACTATTACAACTCCAAATGAGAAGAATAAGCAAAATGAAAAAAGATCGTTGACATAATTAATTAACCTGTTGCGTACGAAAAAAAAAATTTAAATATTACATAATTTTGAAAATAATTTTTAAATAAAAATTATAATAAACACTTTGTTAAATGACAAATTAATATCATATACGAACATAAGAATTCTATTGTGTATTTCCACACAAGAGGCAGCCTTCCTATACATTACGGATGTATTAATCAACAATTTTGCTGTGTCTTCTTGAATCATAATTACTTTTAATTTATATCTGAAAAAGAATAAGTGCATTTATTGAGAAAATGCATGGTACGTACAAACCCAGTCAGCATGTAGCAAGTTTGGTAGAGTATAGCAAAATGTTCGATCACGACAAGCATGCTGCAAGTTTATAAAACTTAACACGATGCGCAGTTGTAAACAGAAACTGTTTGCGCTGCGTAATAATTTTTTTAACCTCCAAAGTACCCCACACAGCACAAAATATTACTATCGGAACTATATCCCGTATGGATAAAGTTCTGAAGTCGAAATACAAATAATAATATGATAACCTTACAGCAATATTTTGTGCTATCTGGGACCCTGTAAAAAATTATTGGAAGGTACCAGGGAGTAGTATAAGGAGACCGAACGCCATGCGCGGAAAGTGGCCGCACTTTTGGTGATCATAATTCTCATGGGCACACTTCTGTCGATATCAGCGCTTTTAGTGTAGAAAAGTGGCACTATTTGTCGTCTGCTACTGTGATTATTCAGTGCACATGTTGTTTTTATTAGACAAACAAATTATTTAGTGTTTGTATAATATATGATCTTGGGAAGGTAAATTTGAATAAAATTTAAAAGTGTGTCGTTAAATTGGCGACGTTTCGTTGGCCAAGGTTTGCCAACCTCATCAGGCTAGAAATTTTTTATTAAAACATATAGATTACACTTCAATTTTTATAAAGGTCCGACAGTGCCGTCCAATCATTTCTCTAATTAATAGTCCCACTCATTTTCTTGCTAAAATTTTATATAATTCTTTAAAAGACTGTATTAAATTACCAGCATCACATATTAACAATAGTTCAGAACTGAAAAATAAATTATGTAATTTCACTATTCACACCTTTATTTCACTTGACGTAAGTTCTATGTTTACAAATGTCTCTTGTGAATTAGTCATTCAAAGTCTAGATCGACGTATAAGCTTTATAAATAAAAATTGTAAAATTCCTTTTTGCGACATTATTGATTGTACCAAATTTGTATTCAACAACACATACTTTTCTTCTGATGGAAAATTCTACAGACAATTTTATGGAACTCCGATGGGTTCTCCGATTTCAGCGTTCGTCTCAAATATTGTAATGGATGATCTGGAAACTGATTGTTTAAAAATATTGAAAGAAAATCATAATTGTGTCCCACTATTCTATTTTAGATATGTGGATGACACTATTTTAGCAATAAAGAAAGAACATGTGAATATTGTCATTGATACTTTCAATTCCTACAATCAAAAATTGCAATTTACCATGGAAATAGAAAAAAATAAATCCATTAATTTTCTTGACTTAAAACTCATTAGAGAGAACAATCGTATAATTACTAACTGGTATCAAAAACCTACCTATTCTGACAGACTTATTAATTATTTTTCGGATCATCCAATTCAACAAAAAAAGAATATTGTATATAATTTGGTTGACAGGGCGATTTCATTATCTAATAAAAAATTCCATTTTGACAATTTAAAAAAAATTAAAACTATTTTAAAAAATAACTGCTATCCTCTAGACTTTATAAAAAAACATATTAAACTCCGCATGAACAAATTAAAATTCTCTAATAGTATCAATAATGATCAAAATAGTGCCAATATTTACAATCGAATCCCCAAGGTTTCCTTACCTTTTAACGAAAAATATTTTTTCAAGTTGTCAAGTGTTCTTAGAGAATTTCATTGTACTTCTATTCCCCTTGTTAATAAAAGTTCCAATTCTATTGTAAAATTAGGCAAAGATACGACCAAAAAATGGGAAAGAACAAATGTGGTTTATAAGTTTGATTGTAAAGACTGCCACGCGACATATATAGGAGAAACGAAGCGATCGTTACAGACTCGCATCAATGAACATAAAAAAGTCAATGATAATTGAGGGCCTGGGAAGCTAAACCGACGAAGCGCTCGGACTCAGGCAGTGAGTAGTGGGGATATTGCCATATTTCGATCTACTGACTCTCTGATTGGCTCTCACTGGCTGCCTGTGCAGGCAGCCGGAGGTGGGAGTGCGTCCTAACTGGCAATATCCCCACTACTCACTGCCTGAGTCCGAGCGCTTCGTCGGTTGTGCTTTCCAGGCCCTCAATTCTGTAGTTTATAGACACATAAGATCATGCGCGAGCTCTCACGCAAGTTCATCCCAGGAACCTTTTCATACAGGATCTTATGTGTGAACCTGTATGGGAACCCACATAAGAACTCACAAGAGATCCTGGATGGGATCCCATATGTGTTCTCACATAGGAATTTTCAACAGGGCAGGAAGGAAGATATTTTCACCTTAAACAAAACATTCTTTCCTTTACTTAGACACATGGACTCGTGTCCATGAGAAAGAACTTGTCTCTCATTTCAAACGATGTTTACATTTCAGCTCATTGACTTCTCTTGTATTTACAATTATATTATCTTGACTCTATAATTTCAATAAATTCTAATTTCTTTTCAGTTGACAGTGAACTGTCCGCCTAATATGACTTCCGTATATTTGAAATTTTATTTCTATAAGTGTGGAACGATTTTTTTAGTTTTTATATTTTATTTTTTAACTTTTTATAATTTTGACAATGTTTAATTTATTTTGACGTGTTAGCATATGTTCTAACTAATTTAGGTATGTCATTGTTGATAACTTACATAAAAATAAGCACTGTCGGACCTTTATAAAAATTGAAGTGTAATCTATATGTTTTAATAAAAAATTTCTAGCCTGATGAGGTTGGCAAACCTTGGCCAACGAAACGTCGCCAATTTAACGACACACTTTTGAATTTTATTCAAATTTACCTTCCCAAGATCATATATTATACAAACACTAAACAAACTATGGAAGAATATCACTCTTATCTATTATCAAACAAATTATTTGTTGCGGAGTATAGTTAAGAATTATTTTCGTTCATTAACTGATAATAAACAACTATAATACTTATAATATTGAATGTGAAAGTGAGAAGTCGATAAAGGGAAGAATAAGTAAGTACAAGTTATGTTAATTATTAGACGTCATGATGCATTTATGTATATTTTTTAATAATATCATCATGTATATTTGTAAAATTGCATTATAAAAGCGCAATATTAACAGAATTAACTGTAATTTTCAATAAAAATATATAATTTCTCATTACGAACCTTATTTGGTTTAAAAAAGAAATTATTCTTCCTTCTTTTATCCAGATAGATGAAATACAGGAATCCACTACGCACACAGAAGGCATTTTTTTATCACATTACACTTCACAAAATATTTTATTTTAAGCGTGTTAAAATTTTATCACAATTCAGTCGTAATTTCTTTACTAAACGATAAACCGCACACGATAAACAAACTAAAAAAGCAGAGGTTATATCATGCTTTCTTGTTTACAACGATAGTGTCAGCCTCTCCGAGTGAGGCGCTGCTATCGACAGAAGTGTGCCCATGGGAATTACGATCACCAAACGTGCGGCCACTTTTGACGCGGATTCATAATTGCCGTTCGGTCTCCTTATACTACTCCCTGGAAGGTACGCGATACCACAATGGGTGTATCATCTTGCCAATGCGGTATTCGGGAAACACCGCCTTGGATGTTACGGTGAATGCGTAAATCCAAGTGTCCCAATGCAGTGGAAATTTTTAGCTTTAAAAAAAGGAACGAAATTAAAAGAACAATAAATAAGTGTAAGCTGTGAAAAATAAAAGTTAAAAGAGTAAAACAATACTAATGGTGAGCGAAAATATTAAGTTTAAATTGAATATATTGAGGTAAAATGGCAAATAAGAGTCCAATACGGCATAAGATGGTGGTTTCAATGCGACGCAGAGTCGGTACACGGAGAGAAAAAAAAGTTCTAACTACTTTCCTTCAAGTCGTCATTCTGATCATATGAAGTCAAGTAGTTACAACCGGGGAGCCAGGCCGTTTTGACTTGGCTCTTTCATTGCTACTACTGTGTTCTCAGGCAATACCGACCAAGCGATTGGCCTATTGCTTTGACTTGCCGCTTGGCGTTTGCTTCTACTTTGCTTTACACATGTGTGAAGACCGGTAGAAGCAAACGCTAAGCGGCAAGTCAAAGCAATAGGCCAAAATCGCTTGGTCGGTATTGCCTGAGAACACAGTAGTAGCAATGAAAGAGCCAAGTCAAAACGGCCTGGCTCCCCGGTTGTAACTACTTGACTTCATATGATCAGAATGACGACTTGAAGGAAAGTAGTTAGAACTTTTTTTTTCTCTCCGTGTACGTAGAGCGCGCAGCACAGCGGCGCTTTCTTTTTTATCGTCAGCGGGTTCTTTGTATGCAGATGATAATTTTGAAAACATATTTAATTTAAATTTAATAATTTATTTTTTTATTATAACCCAGATAACAATCCGCACGTCACGTGCGGGGCATAAAGTGTTAGTCATAACGCTTGCATTTCGTTTGCACTTTGCAGGCACGTGTGACGGCTATTTAAATGCAAGCACAATGCGTGGGTTTAACAAAGCAGTTCTATGCTTCCCCTGCATGGGCTGATAAAGCCCTAAAGACAAGTCAGGTCATGGTTGTTTTGGCCAGTATCTCCATAGATTCAAAATAAGAAAAGCTGCAAAATGTGTGTACTGCGATGCTGAAATTGATGACGCAGAACGCACGCTATTTTCCTGTGAGTACTGGAGCGATGATAGAGAAGCCATGTTTACGGTGGTTGGGACTCGATTCAACCCCGATTCTATGGTCTCTATTATGCTTCAAAGTGTGGACTCCTGGAGGCATATGGAGACTTTTATCATAAAAGTCATGTCGACGAAAAAAAAAGACGGGAGATCTGGGTTGACCGGGAGATGTCTAAATTCTCGGCAGGGATCAAGCAGGAAGGAGAGGAGGAGAAAGTAGATCCCCTCCCTCTTCTGTCTAGCCTTGAGCAATAGCCGGAAGAGTAGGCTACGAAATTCAGTAACGTTAGGGTCGCTATGGCTGTGCTATGGCCAGGCCCGGTCAACTCCATTGAATAAAAATGGCACTGATCA